ACACTGGTCCTACATGAGTTTTTCCCCTTCCTGCCTTCCCTAGCGTCTGTCAGATCTCTCTGGGAAGTCACCTGTCTTGACTCTGCAGAAACACAAAGTACCACAGATAATATCTTGATGAAGCCAATAACAAAAGAAGTGGAAGGTTTTTTTGGAGGGGCTTATGATACATTTTCCTGGGAAAAGAATATGGCTTAAGGAATTAACTTTAGGGCAATGTAGCAAGGGATTGCTTTCTGGTTGAAACAGCTTTCTGACTGAAACACAGAGTAATATTTGATGATAAGTCGTTGTTTCAGAAAGTGTCCACCTGAACAACCATAACAGAGAAAGGAAGTTTAGAATGCAATAAATCATATTTTGTTTCAAATTGGCCATAAATAAACAGATAACAGTTCTAATATTTGTTTCATTTTAATTTGTGTTTAGCATATTTTCCTAAGGAAATGAGAATTGCGTGGTCATGTTCTCTGTGTGGGTTGGTCTCGCTCTCTCTCTATCCAACACTCAGCATCAAATAACTTTTGAACCCACGACCAGTTTCAAAAACTCTTCTCAGAGGGTGGAAATCTGAAAAATAGTGACATTATCATTGTGTCCTAAGAAATGATGGTTATGTAAAGGAGAATAATCTAAGTTAGTGCCCAGCTGAGGAAAAAGCACGGAGAAGGCAGCCATTATATTCTGTCTGACAGTCGCCAATTGGTCGCTGAATATATGTGTCCTAGCCAGCCCATCAACACACACTATGGAAGATATATTCTGTCTCTGTCTGTTGAAAGGTCATACGTGATGGGAAAGGTAGGGGTATTCTGATGGAGAGAAACACATGAAATACAGGGGAAAAACTTGCAAGAAACAGCATCAAGCTAGATTGTGTTGTTTGTTATTGTATTTCACATTTTAGCATCATTTTCAGTGTCTTGGTGTTGATTTAAGAAATTTAAATGTTCTAAAATATGGTGATAATCTTCTAAAACCATAATTTTCTCTAACAGGTCAATTATAATATTGATGAAAAAAGATAGAGGAGTTATTCAGGAATTATGTGACCAGGATTGGCTGCAAGGTCTTTTCAGTTCTGTTTGATTTATGGATCGTGACAATAACACAAGTGAATGAACATTCTTGTTCATTTTCAGTCTAAGTATAATCTAGACTGAAGACGACTATTAAACACAATTGCTGAAATACAGGGAGTTACCCTCCTTACCCTCCTGGAGCATTCTGGTTACACAGTTTGAACTCACAATTTCAGGAACTGGAATCCATTTATTCTTTACAAGCCAATGGCATAAGTCGTTTGATAGATACTCTGATACATTCTGATACATTCTTTTTTTTTTTTTTTCCCCCAATTGAAACATACTTAAAGGTGATTCCAGAATAGACCAATATAAGTCATCACCAGCAGGAACATTCCTTCACGAATGTCCTTTCATATAATGCTGACATGTAGATTTGCTGGGTTCTTTGGTGCCAGTCATCACTGCACAGGCAAGATACCCAGATAGAATGTAAGAGATGCTTTCACTAGGAAAATAACATAATTTGTTTTGTGTACCCATAGAATAATTTAGGTTAGAAGGGACACCTGGAGTTCATCTGTTCCAACACCCTACTCAAAGCAGGGCCAACTTTGCAATTACAATTATCTTTAATGTCTTTTGGATGCCTGGAGGATGCATGCAAAAGAGCAATTTTTAATAAAAGGAGAAATGTTTCCTCCTCCAGTATTGCAGGAGCTTAATGTTAGACTATGAGTCACTCCTTGGAGGAGTTTCTCACTACACGGACTATAGGAAATACTAAGCTGACTAGCCTCCCAAGACTACAATCAATCCTTGCTATTTCTCAAGGGTGTAATCTCTCTAAATCACAGTTTATCCCATTGCCCCCACCTGAATATGTCTGTGTACCGTGGTTGGTTTATCAAACAACTTATGTATATACTCTTAAAATTTACATAATTACCAACCCCAGAAACTTCAGTCACTTCAGTCATTTCTGGCGTATAAACAGTTCTATCAAATATGGCCTTTTCATGCAACATTTCCATGTGAATATTTTTAAAGCCCTGGGATTAATGCTTTTTTAGGTTTATTGATCTATACCACGTCACCTAGTGGTCTAATCAAGAGGTCTTCTACAAACTGCTATGTGAATTCAATTGATGTACTGCTGTGCTTATATTACAAAATTATTTTATTATGTGCCCAGACCTAATTGTGAAGTACTAGGGGATATTCAGCATAAATCTGACTAGAGTGGAAATTTTATTACAACTTTGCTTTACAGATTAAGAAAGGAATTTTTTTCTCTGAGTAGCACTTGCATATGACTGCATTTGTACTGCTTCTAAAATGGATACATACAATGACAGAACTTTCTTTTTCCAAACAGGCAAATGGTTTAACTATGGAATTATCTTCCTTGTTTTAATCTTGGATCTGAATATGTGGAAGAACCAAATATTTTACAAACCTCATGAATATGGTCAATATATTGGTCCTGGACAGAAGATCTACACAGTAAAGGACTCAGAAAGCTTGAAAGACCTTAATAGAACTAAGTTATCTTGGGAGTGGAGATCCAATAACACCAACCCATTGACCAACCGGACCTATGCTGAAGGAGACATGTTCTTGCACAGCAGATTCACGGGCTCTAGCCTTGATGTCAAATGTCTGGCTTTTATTCCAAGTTTGCTGGCTTTTGCTTTGTTTGGTTTCTTCATCTGGTTCTTTGGGCGATTTCAGAAAACTGACCAAGGCATGGAGAATTTAGACAAATCATACACAAGAATGAAACGAAAGTCACCATCAGATATGGGAATGACACGAGAAAATACACAGGTGTTAGTAGAAGAACCATTAAGTTTTCAAGAACCACATCTCGTATCCATAAAATCAGACTTAAGTGAAATAGTTTTTAATTCTTCTCTCCTAACTTCTGAAAACTTGAATGCACAACTGAATGAACAAGATAGCCCTTTACAGCCAGTACCAGAGTCCTCTGTCCCTAAGAGTAATCCTGTGACATAGAGGCAAATACCCAGGAAAATAAATTTAAATAAGCAGTTACTATAAGATTTCAGTTTTACCTTTTGTAAGTTAAGATTTACATAGTGTTTAGAATAAGAAATTCAACCTATACCAAAAGGTGCTCAGCATGCTTTTTCTAGGAATTTTGGTTTTTTATTTGTATTATAGTATGTGCCTACTGTATATCTAACATTCCTTTATAGATTGCTTCCCAAAGTTGCACAAGCTATTTATTAATACATTACCTTAACTGTATAAAAGTGTATTAGATTATTACTTGCAGGTATAAAATTCTACCGTGGTGGTGCCTTGAGACATTAAACTGTTTTTTAATTCAACACCAGATGTATAGCACAGTTCTTCTAACCTATTTTGCAAAGCTTTTTGTATGTGGTTACTTCAAATATAATTTGATGTCTTGAAAGAGGAGATAAATATAGTTATTCCTAAAGAAGGGGTTCTGTTAGAACATCACAACTTGACTTTGTTATTTACTCATTTGTGAAGCCAGTGACTTTGATGACCGGACTGCAGAGAAGCATGATGATTACCTTTTAATTTTTGCGGGCTAGCTGCCAAACACAAATACAGATTGATTATGTGGTAAACAGCAGAGTGATAATATAGCATGGGTCACTACTTGTGAAAGTCTGACTTTCTCCATCAGTAATAGCAATTAGGTGATAATGCCTAATTATATTTTTCCTAATTAAAGATAAACTGCTCCTTGATTAATAGTTTTGCCCTTCACCTTTTTGAAACAGAGGTGAAAATGCATGAATCATAGAATGGTTTGGCTTGGAAAGGACCTTTAAAGCTCATATAGTCCAACCCCCCTGCAGTGAGTAGGGACATCTTCAATTAGATCAGGTTCCTCAGAGCCCCATCCAGCCTGACCTTAAATGTTTCCAGGGATGGGGCATCTCCCAACTCTCTGGGCAACCTGTTCCAGTGTTTCACACTCCTCATGGTGAAAAATTTCTTCCTTATATCTAGTCTAAATCTCCCCTCTTTTAGTTTAGAACCATTACCCCTTGTCCTATCACTGAAGGTCCTGCCCCATCGTTCTTTTAGGCCCCCTTTAAGTATTGAAAGGCTGCAATAAGGTCTCCCCAGAGCCTTCTCTTCTTCAGACTGAACAATTCCAACTCTCTCAGCCTGTCCTCACAGGAGAGGTGTTCCATCCCTCTGAAAATTTCTGTGGCCCTTATCTGGACCCGCTCCAACAGGTCCATGTCTTTCCTGTGCTGAGGACTCCAGAGCTGGACATGGTTGATGCTTTCCATCATTACACCAAATTTGTGTAACATCAAAAAGCCAAGGGAGTGATTACAGTAAAGGACACAAAGCCCATTAAGTCCAGTAGTTGTGCAGTTTGCTGCAGATATAGTCTGGGCATATAGAAACACACCACATACAGACATTCTAACTTCTCCAAATACTGAAGAAATGTTTAGGGGGTTTAATTAAAATAGATTAATAGTTGAATTTTATTATACCCTTTTTTTCCCTTCATTCATTATGCATGAATAAGTGTAACCTGGAAAGAGACACATAGAGAAACTGGGTTTTTTTTACTTTTTTGAAGGGGACTTTGTAATGTGAATTCCTCTGCTGTATGATCAAACTATATGCACTAGAGAAATTGCATATCTAGAACATCAGAAAGACTCTGATTTGCCTCTAATTTAGTTCTATAAATTGTTGTTACAAGTTACTAAATTATAAGTCATTTTTAAGTCTGAATTATTTCCCTGTCATTTACTGGTGTGGCTGTATTTTGTCTTTGGGACTTTTTTATCTCTGTTGTTTTGATCTATCTGCTTTTAAGTTTTCAGCATGCATAATAGAACTATGCATTTATTAACTGTCACTTGAGAGCCAATTTTAATAAACGTCATTCAACAGTTGTTTATTATGAGGCAGGAACATATTCTGTTAGTTTTGCAAAGTTTTTAAACATTTTACCCATGCATTGTCCTATTTAAAATCATAAATATTTCTGACACTGAAAAAGACAGGCAGTATCACAGTAATGTCATCAAAATCAAATATTTTGCTTATGGAACATTTAATATCTCATCAGGAGAAAGTTAACTTTTTAATCAGACTAAATTTTTTATCCATTAAAAATAAAAATAAATCTATTAGCTTTTGCCTACTGCAGCCTATAAACTTGTTTGACATAAGATATAGTCACAGACAAGCCATTAATTACTAATGGTAAAACACAGTCAGATCTTGCTTGTACTATATCAGAGGTGACTATAATGATATTTGACTTTCAAACAGCATTTGATTTCTTAAGTAGTTACAGAAATAGCAGATTTTGCAGATACATGCCTCTCTATATGTTTTGGACACTATAAGCCCAAGTACTGAAAATCTCCCATTAACTCATTTCTCCTTTTTGTGCATAGGAGTGGTTAAATCTATTAATATGTAGGCAGAAAATGAAAGAATTACTTGAGCCTTACAGCCTGCAAGATTACATGACTCTGAGAAAGTGTTATTAAGCAACTAATCCGCAGCTAAAATAATTCTGTGACCTCACGTTGAGTTAATGCTGTTAAGGTCATTATAAGCCTGCCTGATAGAGAGAAAAGCATCGAGTAATCCTAGATTTTGCATGAGTATTTAAATTAATGGTCAAGCAGAGAGACTGCTTATATCATGAATTCATAAGAAGTTAAAAGATTCCATGTAGCCACTCACCATGGTCAACTCATCAATTTAATTAAAGGAAGAAGGACTCAGTTGTGCGGGAATCTCATTTGTAAACACAGACACAGATGAGAGGAGTATTTCCACACTCCACTGCCAGTGTGAAGTTTTAGAAGCCTGAATTAGGTGGCTAGGCTTACTCTAAGCTCCTTCTGAAGCAGGCAGAGACTTGGGAGCTCTGCCTGCTTCAGATGATTCAGTACCTAACTTAGTCATTTATGTCTGCATTAGTAAGTAATACAACTCAGCAGCAATGGGTTTGTGGAGTGAAACAGTTGGTGCTGAGGACCCCGTGCCCACAGTTTGTGCATTTCAGGGTTTTACTTCAGTTTAGCTCTTATCTGGTCCTTATAAACTGAATGCACCACAGTGGCTCGAGTATGTCTTGGACAAATCTCGTTCATGTGCAGACACCATGCAGTTTGAATTAGGAGAGAGTAACTGGGCATGATCTAAACTCCATTCCTGAGCTGAGATACCAATGCAGGGTCATCCTCAGTCTTCTCCTGAAGCAACTTTTCTTCCTCCATGGACTGTAGAAGGGTCCATGGGAGACTGAGTGGCTAAGTAGGAGGCCTAAAATTGGTTACCTGAAATGGAAATCTTCCTTCTCCGAGCACTTTTGTTGTTTTCAACTGTTGTTCATTATTCATACTCTGAAATGCTTTTCTAACTCAAAACACTCTGAAATGCTTTCTAGTGTAGTACCCATCTAGTGTAGTACCCATCACCCACCCATCACTTGATATGGATAGCTGACCTTTTCCTGAATGCCTAACTATGACACAGATTCTTTAGTATTTTTTTCTTTTCTTGAAGAAGTTTAAAGAGCCATAGAAAGGAAGAAACTTGAGGAAATGTCATTTTTTTCACACAATACACAAGTCTCCATTCTGGTCTTTATAATAAACCATCTAGCAGCTACCATCACTACAGGGCTGGCCTGTGTCTGCTTTGTCAGAGATCAGATTCGCTACAATAGTTCTTTTTTCACCATGGATACACTGTATGGTGATGGATGATAGATCCTGCCTAAAATAGCATACATAGAAGAGACATCTCTAGGATAAGCATATAAGATTTATGAGCCCACAAGTGCCTATAAATAGCCTCAGCATCGTGCACAATTACCTTTGCTGAGATGGAAATGACATGGAGCAAAGAGAAGGTAAGAATATTTGGAGAAAGGACCTTAAATATAATATTCATGCTGATGAAAGTGTATATGTATGTCTAAAATCCAATTGTACAAGACGTGTATGTGTATGTATGTTAGGAGCCTAGGGATCAGTTGATTCTGTGGGGGAAACTGCTGAGTCTCTCAAACAGATGATTTACTACTGCCCTCTTTATTCTGCATTGCTCCGTAAGTTAGTTACTCCAAGTTGCTACGTCTCCTCTGCCTTCACTTCTAGAAAACATAAAACAACAACAACAAAAAAAGAAAATTCAGTTGCACTATCTGCTTCTGTCTAATTTACACGGAAAGTAAATTTATACTGTTTTAAAATATTTCTGTCCTCTCTGGCTAGTATCATCATACTCTGGGCTACTGCACTGTATTATAGTATATGTTAAATCGTTGCTTCTCCTGCAGTGAATGGCCTCCATCATGACAACCACCTAGAAAAGAAGTGCGATCACCCCTCAAAGACTGGAAAGGCAGCAATTCAGATACTTACCAGGCTGGCAAGCTCATTTTCCCACAAGTGAACAGGTTATGACTCACTAGTAAAAGATGTAACTGATTTTTAATACACTGCCTTTAATTTTAACAACCTCCTCAGAGGGGCTCAGTGGGAGAGAACTTTTTATCTCAGGCTGTAAATTTGAAGTAGTTACAGTCCTGCATGCAGTGTTTCAGCTTTTTAAGTTGTATTTTAAAATAACCAGTTTAAACTTTGAGCAGATTACAAAAACCATAAAAATTGGACAGACCAAACTGTGATTAAGAACATGAAGTTGATTCACTTGTAGCTGCCCAGTGCAGGATATAGACAAAACACACATTGATCAGATGTTAGAGTGACCCTGTGCTTGGGATCATGGACGGTGACATGTAAAGACTCAAACTGTATGAACAGACAGTTGCAGTCCCTTTATCAACAGACATGCCAGTGCAAACATCAGACAGACCAGCTCTTCTACCATACAGTCTCTCTCCTGTCCATCCATTCTAAGTGACAAACGACAAAGGGTTTGTTCATTTCCCTGTGCACTCAAAACTGTCCTGTGGGGAGCCTGGGCTCCCTGAATGTGATGTGACATGTCATTGCAATGCCCAGTTGTCCTGATTTTCAGCTGGGACAGAGATACATTTTCGTAGTGGCTAGAAGAGCACTGTGTTTTGGTTTCAGTATGGGGCTTGTTATGAGAAGAATGTTGATAACATACTAATGTTTTCAATTGTTACTGGAAGATGAAGGACTTTCCAACCTCCCTGTGTTTTGCTAGTCTGCAGGTGCAAAAGACTAGGAGAGGGGTAGTAAAATTGGCAAACCCATTTGGATATGCCAATGGGACATTCCATATAATGTAATG